CAAAAATTCCATGGAAGTTTTCCAAATCGTATTACACGATTTACATGAAAAACGATCACGTTGCATTCATTAAACATTCTTATCTACAACTGTTGATTCTTTGTTTTCAATTATATTCTTCGTTACATAATATGTTTATCTGATAACTTGTTTCAAGTTATTCTTAATCCTTGAAATCTTCCAGTATTTTCAACGTTAGTTAAATATACTTATTCTTCAAGATTAAATATAACCGTTATTCGTTAGAACTAGAATACTTTTTTTATAACAACAATAATCATTTTTAGAAGATTCGATAAATATATAACATCATAAATTGACTTGTACGTTGTGTGCATTCATTCACGAAGTATTCGCCAACGTGCTGAAACCACGTGCTTTCCGCATGTCTGGCTGCGCGAGTTACATGCGCCATGTAATATATTATCACGATTGTCACAGTCATTAAGTACTTCCTTGATTGTACGGTAGACACATATAAATGTTGTGGAAAAACACGAATTCCAAATGCAAGTGATCATTGATGACGAATAAAATCTAGTACATAAGATGCATGATAGAAATTAAACCGTTCATTTAACAAAAATTTAATAACGATTCGAAATTTTTTGAAGATATTATAATTTTTTTTTGCATTCATATTTATAATGAAATTCGAAAGTGATTATTAACTTAATATTTATAATGAAATTCGAAAATGATTATTAACTTTGTTTTTCTATATTTATTTTTTTTATAAATTGTTAAAAAATAAAAAAAATTTTAAAATAAAATAAGATTTTTATGCTATTTATTGAAACGTACTATGAATTTTTAATAATTTTCAATATTTTTAATTTTTCATAATATAGAAATTCAATAATTTTTGTATTTTTATTTTTATTTTAAAAAAAATTATTGTTTTGATTTATAGGTAAATAAAGACTTAAATTTTGCTATATTGAAAATAGCAATGCAATTATTTTATGATTTTTTTAAATTAATTTTAAAAAATTAACGGCCGTTTATTCTGCACATTTTATTTTTAACAAATAAAGAATTGTTTTTTTTCAAGATATTTAATATTTTGAGAGATATACTTAAATATATGTCATTAGTTTTTATTTAATTTAAATATGATTTAAAAAGATGATTTAAAAATTATTACACATAAATATTATTATATGTATATTTTTTTTTTAAATTTTAAAATATTTAATTTCAATATTATTTCCCTCGCATTTGATATTTATATATATATTTTTTAAATAAATATATAATTGAAAATAAAAATTAATTATAAAAAGTATAAATAAAAAGTAATTATTCTTTTCTGATTTTAATATAGACATCCTTGAACTACTTGTCACATATATCTATTCTTATTCTACATATATATATATATATATATATATATATATACATATATATATATCTACATATATATATATTATTAAACGTAACATGAAATGATTTATAAAATTTTTTATTATAATTTCAAATTAACAATGAGATTTCTGATTTATGTTAAAATTGATTATTTTCCTTTTTTGTATTTCAATTAAAGAAAATTAAAGTACTACATATTATGATCTAATATTTATTAATAATTTATCTTATTTGTTAAAAATAATTATTATCGATATCTTAATTATTTTGAATGATATATTAATTCAATCGGACAGAGATTGAATAATATCGTTTCAACGAGTGCGTTAATTAATGTATTTAAAAATAACATGCAATAAAACGAATATTTTTTCTTTCTTCTCTCGTTTGAAAATCCCGATATCTATCACGAATAAAAGCGTAAGGGATCATTTTTTCGAACACGATCGTTACACAGTAAAGAGCGCAAATAATTCGAGCATGCTTCACTCGTGCTGAAACACATATATACGCGCTGAAATCGTGGTATTCTCAAAATAGATCGCATTCGAGTAATTCAGTTGTAATAATAGCATGTATCAATTGCTTCCTTCTTGCTACAACAGTAATGCATCTGGTCAACGAAATTCTCATGTGTAATCACGTGTTATCCATTTATCCTTAAAATTTATCAATTAATTACATAATGGAAAATAATAGCGAAATTGATATTTTAATATCAAAAATATAATTTTTTATATTTTATTTTTTTAATTTAAAAAAATTTGCGCTTCGTTACAATTAAAATCGATTAGGTCGATGTTAAATTAAAATTTAATATATAATTCTTTAATAATTAAATTATTTTCAATGAATTGCGTCACACTTCCAAACTCACTTAAACAATTTGTAATTAAAAAATCTAAAGAGACAAATTTATCAAGGAAATTGTATATATGTACAAAGATGAAAATATATTTCTGGTGGAAATTGTTCGATTTGACCTAGTCTTCGACAAATGATCATTTAGATGTTCGATCAGACTTTGTTGCGCTGAGATATGCTGAATTACAGCCAAGTTCCATTACAAATTTATAATTATGATGTGCCAATGATATAGTCAACGACATTCAAGACCATTTACGGGCTTTGCGATGAGATGGGTTTGGATTAGATATGTAGGCCAAGGTAAAAAGGCGCATTAATTCACGGGCATCCCAGAAAATCTGTGGCTTGATCGTTATGGAATAAAATAATAGTTCAAGTTATTTTTATTTGAACAATGTTACAATTGTCTATAAAAGTTATTTATATTAATGAAAATAGATAGATATAATATTGATAAAATAATAATAAGATAAATTTGTATTTCTATTTATAAAGATTTTTAAGTAATAAAATAATGTAGCCTCGTACAAGATAAGAAAATTAACCTTAATTATAAGAAAAACGATTAATACAAGTTAATAATTTGAAATATATAATAGAGATTTGCATATATAACAGAGAAAGTATTTTATTACTAAATTAGTAGAAAAAAATAGAACTATTTATTACTTATAAGATAGCTTGAATATGGAAATAAAAAAAATGTTATTTTGTTACGTTCAATCGTCGTAAAATTAAAAATTTTTTTAAATTAAATAAACGATCAAATTTTGATTTGATATTATGATGCATCTAATTTTTTAATGTTGAAATCAAATATATATAAAAAAATTATTGTCAATAATTTATTTTTATCATATATTTTTATAATATTTTCGTTATATATTTTTAAAAAATGTAGTTTTTATCTCATTCTTTTATATTTGAATGAAAATAGATTTTTAAAATTTAATTATTTCTGTATTTTCTTGTTTTGCATTTTATTTTTAAATAATATTATAAGACGTTTAAATATTTTTTAATGTATAATATTCCTAAAATTTATACTTTAAACAAATTATCGCAGTAAATGAATTATAATTGTAATAATTGTACAATTGTATATTAATAGTACAATTACCAGAGTATATTTTGATTTTATATATTCTATAATTCTGACAGATTAGATTAGAAAAATATTGCACTATTCACATTTTCTTCAAGTCTTAAATCTTTGAAATTTATTTCTATATCTAGAATATTTATTTCAACTATAAAATTTCACTATAAAACTTCAGATTTAAAAAATATAACAATATCACAATTTTAATAATGGTGATAAACTGTTCAAATGGATCATACAATTAATTATATAAAAACGAGAATGTACGATGCACTCCTGCGATTGACACAATTGCTATATATTTGTCATTATGTAAATATGGTTATATGTGCTATATATACTTCGACGAACCGTAACAACGAGAACTGATCGAAGACGTCTTTCAATATTTCAATATTATCCCTGTCTTATCGCTCGATACGCTAATAGTGGCCATTTGGTGAACTTTTATATTTACATGCAGGATATTTTTTCATAGTTTATGTCGATATCTTCAATATTATTATTATATGATAATAGTTCGTTGGTTAGAACTGATAATTACTAGAATTCTAACAAAAATTGTTAAAAGAGATCAGCTAATAAAATCTATCTAGTAATATAAGCAAAACATTTGCATACTATCCCATTTCTTACATAGCATTTATATTTTTATAGATTATTAAAAATTTGATAGATCTAAAATAAATATAAAATCATATAGAATTAACATTTAATAATTGCTTATGAAATAATTATTGTTTTTAAATAATTATATATTTTGTTATATTGTTATAATTATAATTAATTGTTTTTAAATAACAATTTTCAAGAAAATTGAAATAATATCGATTTCATGTTAAATATAGATTAGATAGATTTTATAAATTCCACAAAAACAATCAATGAATTACTTAAAATATAAAATTATATTACTTAAAATATATCTAAGACTTCTGCTTTTTTCTTGATTTTTTATGTTTTATTGTTTTGGAATATTTTATATGACCAAATATTTTAATAAAAATATAAATAATACTGTCTTTTAATGATTAACAAGTGTTTCGCGACTAACAGATTAATATAAATATACATATCTCTATTAATATTAATTATAAATGTACTATATCTTTTACATTTAAAAATATTTCAATCCGATTATATTTAATTAGTTTATTTAATTAATAATTAGTAAGTATAAAGAAATAGAATTATATTTAATTAGTAATAGAGGATAAGATTATATATAGAGAATATATATAATATATATAATAAAGAATAATAAAAGAATTTTAAATTTAAATTTCATCGAAAAATATACTTTTTGCATTTATATTTCTTTAAAATATTATTGATTTTTTTACATATAAGTTCTATCGCATTGTATTGTCTTTCTCCAATGACATTAGAATTCGTTTGAGTTTTAAAATATAACGGTCATAAAATCATAATAAAGATTGTCCCTAAAGTTCACGAAATATTCTAATTTAAGTAATCTTTGCGAATAATATTTATTTATGGATATGAATTTTTCATAAAATCTAGTTTTTTTTTTGATATTTTTCATGCTATTATATGCATATTATTTTTTTTATTTGACATTTTCTTTTTTTTTTTTTTTTCTCTTTAAGAATACTTTCTTTATGTAATCCACCATAATTTTAGTACGTTTTATGCATTTTAGTGCTGGAGGACTTGTGACAGCAGTAGCACCGGTTGTCATAAGCGGAAATGGAGTCTGGGTCGGATGGCCGGGTATGCACATGGAAAACCGGGATGAACCAATTCCTGAATCTGATCCTAACGATCGTACGCCAACAGCTGGTCTTTTGTCTCGAAAGGTATGTTTTTTCTTTTTACAAATTTTATATTCTTATAATAATAGAAATAATAGAAAGTCCTTTTTAATTAAGATATCCTATATAGCATATTTTTATTTTTTAAAATATAAAAGAGAAAGCGGTAATGCGAAGTCTTGTTTGGTAAACTTGGTAAACTAAAGCTTTTCAATAAAATCAACATTAAAATAATACATTTATATATAATTTTATAATGGAATATATTTGTAACAGAAAATATATGAAATTATAGAACATTAGAAAGAATTTTAAATATATTTAATCTTTCAATATAAACATTTTCATGAAATTAAAAAACTTTTTTATAATTTTTTATACATGAGTTTTTTTATTCCTTTAATTTTAGATAATTGTTATAGCGATTTTAAGATACTTTGATATTTTTAAAATATGTTTATTTATATAAAAAAAAATTTCACGAAATTTTTTTATTTTTTTAAGAATATAAAAAATGTATAAATATATTATTGGAATTCCGTTTATAGTTTATATTAGTTGAATAAATGTTTTTCTTTTCTTAAAGATATATTTAAATATATCTTGAAGTACTTATTATTTTATTATTGTTATTTTATGCATATTTTATTGCATTCAAAAATTTATGATTATTATATTTATGAATAATTAACTTACATATAATAATATAAATATAAATGTATATGTATAATATTTTTATTATATATATTTATTATATATAATATAATAAAAATAATAATACTAAGTTTATTAAATATTATAGACAATATTAATTAAATAAATAAAAATTTCATTCAAAAGAATTAGAGTTTTATATTAGCTACATAAAAACTTTTGAGTGGAAAGTTTTTTAAATAAAGATAAAATTTCCAATTCTTCTTTTTTATTTGAAATTTTTAAACGTAAAAAAGAAATGTATGAGGATTAAATTAAAGCCAAATTTAAGTCAATGCATTAATATTCAAAAAAATAAATCTCTTGTAATATAAAAAACTATTCATATACAATGGCGCCCATAATTATATTCATTTAAATTTTTTACTTTTTCTTCGAAGTTAAATTTATATATCACAAAGCATTATAATATAAAACGTTCATAAAACGGAAATATCAGAAGACATAAACATTGTCGGATCTTCATTTTCACAAGTGAAGTGTTCACGCTGATTTTTTTGTGTTTTTGATACCAGCGATAGTGCACGATAATATATATGCAAAGATATTTTCGTCAATATGCGTGAAAACAACATGAAGAATATTATGAAGAATATTATTGTTAACATATCATGAGTTGGTAATTATTGCAACGAATATTATAGAATATGTATATAGATTATATATACATATATAGTCGATCATTGTTAAAATATCTATTTACTACATGTTGATTATATATGTCGTTAACAAAGTTCTGATAGAGAGACGACGTACATTGAAAATAACTAGATCGAATAATTTCGTTTCGAGCATCGTATACATATTTATGTTACTAGGGAAAAGCAATTTAATATTAAAAGAAACTATAAGAAATATAGAATTATTATATAATTGATTAATAAACATAAAATAAAATAAAATAAAATAAAATAAACATAAAATAAATAAAAATAAAAAAATAAACAATAGTGTTCATACCAACATTCACGTCAAACAATTCACTTAACCTTACAATTTTATATTATATCAATTTATTTCATCTTATAGAATTTAAAAGAAAGAAGAAAGAAAAATTAATTTATTAAAAATTTATTGTATCCATGAATTTCTTTTCTGAACTGTTAATATTGAAATATAAGGAAAAATAATGTTTCATAATAGATTATTAATAGAAATTCGACGAAATTGAAATATTTCTCTTGCGAGAAATATATTTTTTGTTAAACAGCTGTTTCCAACACAATTATCATAATAGTAAAAATTCTCTTCAATATATGTAAATATGATTCATATATTATTTATAGAAACCAAAATAAAATACTATTTTTCAAACCAAGAGGGCGCGCGTGCTTTCTTCGATCTTTCCTCGTGTCAGGTTCGTGTCAATCGATAATTATAAGAACCATTTCGCGTGTCAGTTGCGTGTGATCATGAAATGAAATATAATATAATGCAATAGTGATCGTAATATCTATATTGGATTAATAGTATCTAAAAATTATGATTTTATGTGAAAAAATAAATTTAAAAATAATACAGCATTTTCTTACACAAAATTTTGTTTTTAAATTGAAAATTCACATTAATATTATTAATTAATATTATATTATATATCAAATTCATGGAATACTATTAATTGAGTGACAATTTGTATATTGATGCTTAATCTTATAATCACAAGTATTTATATATATAAGCTGTGACGTAATTAAGAAAAAAGTGATTTTACATACGAAACAGATTAAAAATGTAAACTGAAAATGAAATTTATTTATTTATTTAACTTTTCCTTTGTAAGAAGTGTATAACTTGATTTTTATATCATTAATCTAACTATATTTAAATTAAAAGTAAAAGGTTAGGTTAATAATCACATGATTTTCTTTTATCTATATCTATGAAAGATTTCAAAATTAATATTTTTTTAACTGATATCTTCAATATGATACATTTTTCTATATAATATTCAATTTATTTATGTAATGAATTAATGTGATGAGTTGACTTATTATTCGGATTTCCAACTTGAAGAAAAAATTAAAATTTATATATTTTAATAATTTATTTATAATTTATTTTTTAATATATCAATTATCAATTATTCATTTATAAATTAATTATTATGATATAGAAGTCCAGCATAGAATATAGAAGTTAAGGAACAATTCAGTTATCTGGTTAGCATTTGCAAAGATTCAGTGAGGATTCTACGGAATTTGTTTATTTTTATATCTGTACTGAATGTATAGTTAGGAAATGCGTTAAATATAATTCACGTTCTCTTCTACTTCTTTACAATTAACATCATATTGAAAGTATTTTATAATAATGATTGACTTAATTATCTAATATATTATAGATTCCAAAGCATTAATCGATTCTAATGTTGAATTCCTATTATCACGAAATAATCTTGAAATGATCTCTCTTCTCTATTAACCTACTTTATGATTCATCGCTTTTCTATTGATTTTATAAATTTTCCTCGGACAGCGTTATTCGAAGAATTTTAGAATTCTTAGAGAAAATCATTGTCATTTTCAATTTGGGAATTATTACAATTTGGGAATATGAATAATTTTTATTTTTACATATGTAGTAAATATTATCGACTAAATATTATTTGATTCAAGAATACACGAAGATATGTAAATAATGTATACAAGAATATAAAAGAAATTTGTTTTTAATTACAAAGATTTTATTTTTTTATAAGATATCATATAATCATTGTTGAAATTTTATCAAATTTATTTAAATTATTTACATTGGTAATTAAATATTTTTAGTCTTTAAATTATTTACATTGGTTTATTTTTGGTCTTAACTAGTTAATATACAAATACAAATGTGAAAATAAAAAGAATATTATTATAGATCATACAATATGTAGGTCATTATAATTATTAGACTTTTTGATAAAGATTTATTATTATTTTTCAGATTCATGTGATATCAAATAATAAATTATATCGAATGTTTATATATATACTTTTATATCTGATGAATGTTAATTGTCTACATATAAAAACATTAATTTAATTTTGAACTTAAATGTATTGAACTAATAATTCATCTCTGATGACAATTTTTTTGAATTTTTCTAATAAATAAAATAATTTTTATTTGTTTTTTAAACAAATTTAAACAAATAATTAAATTTAATTTGTTTAATTTAATTTCTTTAACTTCTCATTAAAATCTCATTCAAAATATGCATTTTTTATATAATTAATTATATATATTTTAATTGTATATAATTATTATATATCAATATATATATAATTTTTTAATAATTTTAAAAAATATTATTTTCAAATTATTCATATAGAGTATTTCATTATTATTGAAAAAAATAATTTTGTTTTGTTTCAAAGGGAATAGTAACGAATCTTATCTGAATGCACATATCCTTCAAGATTTCAAAATGACTTTTATTTTTTAAATATTTTTATTCTGATAGATGTATATATTGTTCGATGACAAATTCATCGTAATACGATGTATTTGTATTATAAGGTCATTGAAAGTTCTTGCCGTTCAAAACTTATCTTTGTTGAAAGTCCAGAAATTATTTCTTATCTTTGATATTCAAAATATTGACCTCAATGTCAATGCATTATTGTATCTCTAAAAAATAGCTGCATCTTTTTTTAATTACAAAAGTAATTGATAGACATTTCTTATACGATTTTTTATATTATTAAATTATTTTGTTTTCCTTGATAAATTTGATTAATTTTGAAATGCCACTTTATAAAAAAAAATTCAGAATCTTTGATTCACTCATCTTCATATAATGTTTACAATCGAATCAATGAAATATTTCTAATGAATGAAATCTTGGAGAAATTTAAGATTTTTGAACGATAATAAATGATTAGAAATATTAATGGAACATCAATACATTTAAATCAATGAATTCATGGAACAAATTATATATCCATCAGATATAAAAGTATATTTCATTAAGAAGAAAAAAAAAGGAAAATGAAGATTATCTTAATAAATAATAAATTTAAAAAATACATGTCTTCTTGGATAAGATGTTATCATCATTTCTCTTATAAATAAATTTTATTTGAAATATTTTTTTCAATAATATATAGTTTGAGAAATAATTTCATAGTTCACTTTAAATAAACGTATTGTATTTATACTAATTATTTTTTGTTTGTCATATAAGCTAAATATACTACGACTAAATATAAATATAGAAAATTAACATTTTTAAACTACCTATTCAAGCTATCTATTCATGTTACAAAAAAACAGTTGCATTTTTATAAATATAAAATTCATAAAAAAAGTATTTAGAATATATTTGTAATACATTTTTAAAAATATAA